AACACCCGGCGGGCCGGATAAATGTTTTCGGCGGGCCACATGTGGCCCGTGGGCTGTAGTTTGAGGACCCCTGCGTAAACTATCTGGTAGGATCAGTATCTTTACCTGTCAAATGGCAGTAAAGTGACATGAAGACAGGGGCACCTTTTGCTTGAGTCACCACAGTGTCCACAGTGCTTATACTCAATCATAAAAATGGTAGGAACTTGATAAATACTTGTTTAATGGGTGACACTACATAAATAAAAAGCCACTTATATCACTGAATTATGAAAGTAAAAATGATGCATATCAAATACTTAGAAAAAATACTTAATTGTCATGTTTTTCATGTATAAGAACATCTAATCCTGTTTGTCCTTATCGTAGTGTGCTATAGGGAAAACATTCTTTAATCAGTTTACAGTTATACTAGTAAATATGTAGGGTGGCGTCAAAGGATGTTTCAAACTTCGCATTTGAAATGTTCTAATCATGCCATTATGCGAAGTATATAAAGAATTTGAAGTTGCAACAGAAACATTGGGGTGCTTTTGAAAATAGTAACAACGAAACAAACATAAAAACACCATCTTCTATACTTGTCTCATTGGATGGCACTTTGTATATCATTTGTTTTTTCATTATTTCCAAAGTTCAGTAACACATCCTTTCAATAAGAGTATCTTTAGAGAACATTTCAAACATTACTTCAGTCTCTAAAAGGTGTATTTGGTTTGCAGGTGGGGGCGGAGGTGATGGAATGTTTACTCCAGCAGAATGGCCTTCTGTTGATACTATACATGTAATCATGTATAGGCACGCTGGCAATCTCCTCTGGGGCCCTGTTCTGAAGTGAGAGTAATGGAATAGAGAGGATGGAGACTGACAGTGGCAAATGGGTTGTATGATATGAAGAGATGGAGCCGGTCAATCACTGGGTACCTAACCCAGTTTCAGTCCAAGCACTAACCTCTTCATTGTGTTTTCCAGGACATGAATGATTACCCTCCAGTGTTTAGTAAACGCATCTACAAAGGGATCGTGGCTCCAGATGCTGTCAAGGGTACCCCGATCACAAGTGTTTATGCTGAAGATGCAGACCCTCCTGTAAGTAAAGGACGTTGATCAATATTCTGTAGTAAGGAAGCCGTTAACGCTCGCGAGTGAATGACCCAGTTCCCAAGGCAGCACGTGTTGTTTGTGTATTTCATTCTGTTCACTCACCCATTTTATGTTCTCTCACCTGTTGCATCTACAGGTACAGACTACATTTCAAATGATTATTGTTGAAGTTAAACAATTAAGGATAAGCTTTTTGTCTCACTATAATTCAAAATTTACTATTCACCAATGTATCTAGTACTAATGATAAATATATAGAGACATAATTGTCTACATGTGGAGCCAGTATAATTTGGATTCTTTATTTAGAAAAGTTAAAGTTTAGTAAAGGTAGGTTTTATCCTTATATGTTTTCCATTATATTCATGCATAATTATTTTATTATCAAACTCTAAATCAACATATGATATAATACTCATATTGAATGTGTTAATTTTGGTAAACTAATATCTTAACATCACTTTTAGATGACACTACATATGGGTGACACTGCATAAATAAAAAGCCACTTATACCACTGAATTATGAAAGTAAAAATGATGCATATCAAATATATCACTTTTAGATGACACTACATATGGGTGACACTACATAAATAAAAAGTCACTTATATCACTGAATTATAAAAGTAAAAGTGATGCATATCAAATACTTAGAAAAAATACTTAATTATCATAAAAAAATAAATTATTTTTTATCCAGGATTTTACCTTATTAAGATATCCCAAATTGCCTTTCAAGATTTAGGGGTTTTAATTAAAACATTATTATAGCAGAAATGAGGCAAGTTTTTCTAATGCATTAAAAATAGAATATGGAAGTAATAGTATCTATATAAAATGCTTTCTAAAAATAATTTGAGTACTTTATAAATGCTAGTTATTCTCATAATGACCGAATGATGAAGATGTATTTTTTTTTTTTTTACTGGAGTGAACTCACACCCTTAAGTCAGTGGCTGATATATTATAAAAATATCAAAGGTGTTGAATAACATATTTTAGAAAAGTGAAAAAATATATGAAACACCTGAATTTTATAAGAGGTTTTAAAGTTCTGTTTCATATTCCTAACATAAATAGTACTTATGTACTGCTATTTATCTAATAAAGGTGAATAGCAGTCATAACAGTTTTTAGCTTCAATTGTGACATCATATAAAGTCTTTGTGACTAAGAGGTCTTGGAAATAGTAATGTGAAGGTGAAAGCAGTGAACTTTCACTCAGGAGCTCCTTTCTTTGAGTATGCTATGATGTCTTTGAAACATTTATTACATCTCGAGAAATATGATAGGCAAAATGTCATAGTCTTTTTTTAATTGGATTTACTGGGGTGACATTGTTATATAATATTATATATGCGTCAGGTATACAATTATGCAATATATCATCTGTATATTGTATTGTGTGTTCACCACCCCAAGTCAAGTCTCTTTCCATCACCATTTATCCCCCCTTGACTCTCTTCTACCTCCCCCGACCCCCTTTCCCTCTGGTCATCACCATACTGTTGCCTGTGTCCATGGGTCTTTCATTTTTTTCTTTGTTTAATCCTTTCACTTTCTCATCCAGCCCCCAACCACTTTCCCTTTGACAGCTGTCAGCCTGTCCCCTGTATCCATGAGTCTGTCTCCACTTTGTTTGTTAGTTTATGTTGTTCATTGGATTCCACATATAAATGAAGTCATAGTCGAACACACTAATAGAGATGGTAAATGTGAAATAGGTGGTTTGTCTGCCTTTTAAGTAAACTCTCAGAGATACAGAATAGTTTCAAATTAGGAATATACATTCAGTTCTATTCAAGACATGCGTTGGACACCAATTCCATAATGGTCATTGTGCAAATCAGGTTTTGCTCCCCAGAAACTGATTCCAAACTTACAGAGAAAAAGGAACTGCATATAGAAACTGTAACACACGGGCTAAATAGTATAATCAGACACAGCATCTTAGCAGATTCAGATTTCAGAGAAATTTTCATCAGTGCAGAATTTAAGATAATATTAAGGTTAGTGGCATAAATGATGAAAGACTAAAAGTAGGCCTCCTGGTCACCAATGTGGGGCAGATCTCAAAGATGGCAAAATCCTCACTTTACTTTTGGCACCTGTGACCTTGTTACCTAGTTTGACATTCAGGTCACTGTACTGATGTGAGAGAAGCTGTCTTTAGTCCATTGTCCGTTTTATAAAGCTATATTGCTTATTTAGAGAGCAGACCCTGTTTTTATACCCTGCCTCTCTCATGGAAATTTACCAGGCTCAAATTCCGCATTTCTTTGAAAGTTCTTAGATGGCATTCCCAGTACTTTTTAACATTTAATATATAATCCTGACTTTTTATTAGATGGAAGGTGATTGCCAGTCATTCAGTTGGAATGCTGAACATACCTTATTTCGGTTAGTGAATATGTATGATATCAGACTCAGTTTTAATCCTCGAAACACTAACAATCTTTTGGTATAACCAATATTCAGCCTGTTCTCCAATTATTGCTGCAAATTGGGCCCCTTAAATAAGCATAGTTCCAATTTGGCTGCACCTACACCAATTTGAAATAAAGGCCCAATTCCATGAAAATTTTCAGAAAGAAATATTACGGTACACAGTTTTCAAAAATATTATGATCACATTTTACTTCTATTATTTTATGTTGGAGTCTTAAATACAGACTAAGTATTTGTTGAATGAACTTGTCAAGTGTTTCTACTTGTTCCTATTATAAACATGTATTAATTACAAGATAGTTTCAGATAGTTTCAGTTTCATACCCTTCACATCTCCTCTGTCAGCTCTATAAGTTGGGGCTATAAGTATCTATGGGGACATATGTTTACATAAAAGTCTCCTTTCCAAACTAGAAAGTAATGACCTTTAGGGCAGGAATCACAACTTACTCGAGTTTGTATTCCCACATCTAACTCTATGCTTGGTACTTAATAGCCTGTTAGAAAAATTGGTTGAATAATTCAAATAAATGATTAAATTCATGTTTATAGCTATACTCTTCAGAATTGACAAATTGAGAGTTCTTTAGAAATTTAGTTATTTGTGACCCTGAGAAAATGTCGTAGTGTGTAAGCCTCAGTTTGGCTATTTGAGGGCTGTAGAATTAAGGGAGGTGGTGCATATGCTTAGCACAGTTTCTGCACCCTTCTATAGCAGGTATTGTTAGAATTCTGCAATAATAATTTCATTTCTAGAGGCTGGCTACATTTTTTAAGGCATCTTGTTTCTTTTGAATGAAGTGAGAACCACCCATTTTAAAGTAGAAAATAGCAACAACAAAATCTTTTGAAGTATCAGATGGAAAAACTGGGTAAGGTCTTAGAGCCAGAGCGAGCATTGTTGCTGAATATAAATTAAAAATTATAAAATGCATGTTGTGCAAAACGAAAGTGCTCTCGAGGGAGGGGAAAAATCTTCAAGGGACTTTTTTTTTTCTTCCCACTGAGTTAAGGCTGTTAGGACTTTGATTTTCTGCCTTGATTTTGTGACAGCATCGATGTGAACAGTGAATGACTAATCATTTTGGATATTTAAAATTGCTAACTTTTTCTTTCTGCTCAGCAGAGACGTCTCACTCCAAATGTTCACAAAACATAAAACTGCAAGTGTAATTTCGATTTGCATATACTTATTCTTTCTGAAGCTACCTCTCACGCACCATGATATAAAAGTTCTCTTTGTGGGCCCAGTAAATGCCTGACACAATAGTGTCCTCTGTGAGCACATGGGAAGGAAAAAGTGGGATAAATGAATGAAATTTACATTTTGCTCATCTCCAAAAAAATCTGAGGGACCTACAAGTATTACCTTTTCATTTTCACATCATTCTTTTTACTTCACGCATTTTAGGAATTCATAAGATTCTTGTTTAAAGTACAGCAGTAATTGAAACGTGTTTAATATTAGCAATTTAAACAAACTCTCTTATTTGCCTGTATTGGTGTAAGAATTATTTAGACATTGAAGACTCATTTTTTCTTTTCTTATATTGATTTATGAATTAAATGTATTTCATAAAAACGATCTTGTATGCTCTCGCTCAATAGTAATTGGTTTAAAAATCAATAAGTATTCTCACTATACTTTTTTTTCCCAAGGATTTCTCTAAAAGGAAAATAATTGCAGTGTGTGGGGCATTTCCCCCCCTCTTTGGAGATTTTGAGAGCTATACTAATCCTCGGAGTTCAGACAGGCTACCTGAGGAAGTATTGTTAAAGTGTTTTCACGGGTGGCTTTTACACTCTCCTCACTCACTCAAGGGCACTGTTGTTGATCTCTAGAGAGTGGAAAAGATGGTCAGGTTTTTCTTGTATGATTCATACCTTGAGTTTTACTAAAATGTCATGTCATCACCAAGTAATGGCAGATAATTATGGTGCTTAAAATGCTTAACCTTTAAATAGTTATTCTGATGCAGTCTGTTGGTAGAGGGCATAACAGTAAAATGAAAGCAACAACCAAGTGTCTTTACCCATGATGTACTGCTTGCTTTTTGTGCCATAGTTAAAACTCTACAGAGCCAGGAGTGTTATAAGATTGTATTTTTATCTCCAGATAATATAAGCGGTCCTTTATCATTTCCGGATGACATCTCCACAGTTCTATTTTTCATCACTTGCCACATACGGACTGGTGTTGTTATGCTGTATTGATTTAGGTTATTGCTAGCAATGTTGCGAAAACTTTGGTTTTAAACATCGTTGCCTACAAACCAAATTGCTGACCCAGGAGCCTGTGGGGCAGTGTACTCAGCACAGTGGGGTTTTTTTTTTGTTTGTTTGTTTTCCTCACACCAAAGGTGTTAAGGATTGCCTACAAACCAAATTGCTGACCCAGGAGCATGTGGGGCAGTGTACTCAGCACAGTGGGGTTTTTGTTTGTTTGTTTGTTTTCCTCACACCAAAGGTGTTAAGGAAATAATCAAGAGCTATTTTCATAATGCATGTCAGCTTGTGCAAATTGAGAAGATATAACCC